ATTCTTTACACAACTTACAAATATAGACATATAGTAATATAGTAATACGGTATGTGTACGGTAACGTCGGTAACCCTCCACTTTATTGTATACAATTTAGGCTCTACGAATTACGATACGAGTATACATAAAATTCATGGAACACAAAATATATAAAGTTATAATGTATATTGTATACCTATTTATATACGACGGTTGACGAGTGCGTTACGTCCGTTTTCATTATGATGTAGTAACGGGATGGCAATTAACGCGCCAACAACATTAACACCTATTTACCTTTTTTGTTAAAAAAGTGATGTATACTTGTAAATACCGAGAACTTATTTTATATTTATAAGACCAAACCTTGTTGTTATTTTACGAGCGTGGATTACACGTTCCGGTTTAGTACACGTTCTACTAAGGAAAAATGCAAGACTTCATGAATGTAATAAAATGAACATTTCATTTAGACGTTTATTTATACTGCAWAGGAAATACCAGTGAGTATGAAAATATTATGTGATTTATACTCTTTTTTCCAAAAATACTACTACTAMTAATAATAATAATAGTTATTGTGTAGTGGTGCTCATTAAATAATGCGGCTATAAAGTGTTGTATAATATAATATATTTAATAACAAATGATATAACGTCATAATAAAAATAAACATGGTATGCTATAGCCTATAAGTATACGATCAATAATGAAATACCTATTTAACAGATTATCGTTTCTGGATAATATATATATAGTAACCTACAAATTTTWAACTATATAAACTATCATAAAAATCCATAGAACATCCAAATAATTATTAACATCCTTGTATGTTTAAACTTCGAAAAAAGGAATAAAATTATAACATATTGAAAATTATATTTCTGCGAAAAAAATTTATTTCAATTTATTTTTTCACTCCTGTGCCAAAATTTTAGTTTTCGTTTACGGTTGAAGCTTTGTTAACTGAAAAACGACCTTTATCTGTCTAGCACTTAACAGGCGGTAAAATGAAAATCCCAAAGAGTGGCGGGTAATAGAGTGAAAATCTCCAAAAGGGCTGGAAGTATTCCCTGCAAAACCAGCCACTGTATCTATACCACAGTTCTCACAAACAAACTTTTGGTTACATCTTATGTTCATATTATTATAACAATATAACCTCTTTGCATGACGCGTAAATATTTTTTTCTGTCATGAAATCGTTTTTCGTTCGTCGACGCGACGTGTAATAGCTCACTTCCAATCCTTTCCATGAAATATTCAATATAATTATCTAACTACTATAATTAAATCAAGAAAAACTTACGATGATACGCAGTATAAACTGGAGGAGTCTGGAGATCTTTGCAGTCATTAACAATATTCATATTTAATAATTATTATTTATATTAATATATTATATAGCCACACGCAGAGGCGCCGACTTTTAGATATTAGCACGGGGGCAAACTTCTATTAAGTGAAAAAAAATTCTATAGTATGCTGTAGTTTGCTTACCGGGAGGAGTAATTACCAAATTGTCCCTTAACTCTATTTTAATACTCCTCTAGGGTGCTATAAATATATTTGTTTATAATTTATAAATAATATTATTTGAATTGAAAATTTTTAGTTTATATGCTATAATGGTAATAAAATCAGTTCCGTCTCTATATTTCGGGAAAAATTGAAATGGCAGATGTATTTTTAGACAAAATACAAAACCAAATTGTAGTGAGCGTCGAGCGATCTATATAGTATTTATAGATCATATTTAGGTTATATACAAATATACAATCGTCGATGTTCTAATGAATATTTTCATGTTATAATCTGGTATTTTAACCAAATAAATATTATTGTACACAACGGGCAAATAATACATTTGCCCCCGTTAAATCAATGTACGGGGGCGATCGCCCCCTTTGCCCCCGCGGAGTCGGCGCCTATGGCCACACGTCATACACGATTATAATTTAACACAGACTGAAATTCGAGCSAAATCGCCTGCATAATATATTAGAGCATATATATAAGAATACCAGGTATAAAATCTTCTAGAGCAAGTATACAGCCATACAGGGTAATTCACAAAACATGCTCATTGCTCACYCCTTTTTACATCAATAATTTAGTTTTTTTCGGCATCTGATTATTAAAATTTTAAATGTACATACTAATAGATACCATATTTTAAAATTATTGAAGTGTTTTTATATGAAAAGCAACGGGAATTAGCTGTATAGGCGCGGTGATGCATTTGCACCTTTAAATAATAAAAAATAATTTTTTTCAAAATAATCATGAAATTTTATATTTATAAATATTTTGTTTCTAATTATCGCCCATGTTTATTTATTTTCATATATCAGCCGTGCAGTTTTCATGCATATTTTCTATACAAAATGTTTTATATTTTTCACACCTGCCAGGCATTCCACGACAAGCTAACTTCTTTTTATACCTACTACAACTACTTTAATGGATTATTTTCTGATAATGTTGATGCATTAAATTCAAAACTCGATCGAATAGTTTTTCCGTTATTAAAATGTTTATATTAAAGACAATAGTCTTTATAAAAATGGTATTACAAAAGTTTAAATTAGGTATACCTATTTAATATTGGAACTATAATAGTATTCATTCGTGTATTGATTGTTGAATATGCATTTTAAAATCGGTATCATTTATCTTTTTATTTTTACATACGTATCTTACAAAATGGAGCACTTATGGTTGGTCAAATCACTGAAATTTGCACTTAATAATAAGTCACCTGTAATTTGTACCGCTCCTAAAGTATATTTCTTTGGTGTGTACCTCGGTCTTATATTATACACAGGTTTTTTTATCTTATTAATTTTTGTTTTAGCTACATTACTTGATAGTTGCAGAAAGTTCTTCATGTAGCATGACTGTATATAGCGTAAATTTTCACACCACCTGTGCTTATTAAACGACATAAAATCACATCGTCCACGTTGTTTAAAACATCATGATGTATTACACGTGGCGCGTTTTTTTTTTATTGCGGTGTCCCTTGCATGTAGGTCTAATCCACATCATAAGCGAAAACACTTGAATGCCAGTCGACTACAATAGTATTTTAATTTACGTAGATTGATGGAGCATAATCCTCGCGTAAACATAATATGCGGTTTATATCAATAAAACATATTTTAATATAAATAAATATCGTATCTAATTTTAAGTATATATTTTAATTTACAATTTTGTCGCAGCTCGGCATTCACACATTTTCGGCTTATGAGCGTTGAATTTTAGTATATTGTTTAAAAATTTGGAAAGATGAGCTGGGCTGCTGCAGGCCATATAAGAAAACATACAGGTAAAAAATATTTTATACTCCTTGATAACATTTATGTGACAGAAATGGGAATAATGAATTATTCTAACTTATAATACCTATATATATTTATATTACTATTTACTTCGCAGGTAGGTAGGTATACATAAATTAAAACAATTCATATATATAATAGTTARGTTTATAATTACAGTATAATATGCATTATGCRTAAATCATCTATACAACATTAATAATATTCTTCCTCTATAGCGTGCGTATATTATACCTGCATTGCAAGAATAATATAATATGCCATCATGTAAATCGTACATGTATATTGTATAATATTACATCCATCGATTTACAATGTGATATAATCAAAAGAGTATAAAATGATAGGGTTAAAATATTATTATTTATTATTTTTTTTTTTTTTACTCATCAACTCGAAATTTTTATCGTCTGTCCAACTGTGGTGAGAATGCTGAGATCGTTGGCCCTAGAGTCGGTCCTGATTATAGATATTAAAATTATTATTTCTTTTGAGATTTATATATATATTAAGTATAGTTTGATGTCGAACGCCATCGTGATTATTTATGCTGAAAGCGTACGATTACTATATAATATAATAATAATATATACTTCTCAAGACTTTCCGGTTTTCTTTACAAATGTTTGCATGCTTTTTACTATTATACTGACCTAGCTGCTTGCTTGAATGATATTTTTTCAATACCAATACTCGTATTATTATAATAATATAACCGAAAAGGCGACAAATGTAAGTATCAAMCAATTCTACCACCTCTTTAACTCAGTACGCTTGTAAAATGAAAAAAGGATGAGTCCATTGAGTCCTAAGTTTTCTCACATACTTAGTATGTTTCCTAGTAATGTATATTAAAAACTATATACATAAAAGATTTATCACTTTTTTTACATAGATTTAATAACTATCCACGAATACTATACCCACAGTGTATAATACTTTAAAAGATTCTATTATTTTATGGCGAGACTGTTATATACCAATATCGTCATTAATGAATGACAATAACATAATAATAAATACTAATAAGCTATACCTCATACTCGTATGTAATGATATATGCATGAATATTATATAATAATACCATTTTCCGTAAACGTATAAGTACAAGTATAATATACGAATATCGAGTCGTCGAAACGATATTTTCTCTTATTGGAGATGTTGCGGGTGTATATATAGATAATAATAATATAAAATATACATTTAATAATAATAATATCATAACGGTGGCCCTTTATCGAGCGCCATTTGTACGGATGATCCTATTTCGGCGGTGTGTGGCGTGAGGGACGGGCGGAAAGGGGGCGTAGGATAGACGTGACGATGGGTCGAGCTGGGTAGATAGATTTGGGAGGGGTGTGGGAAACTCCATGACAAACGAAAGGGGGGTAGCGCGCGTCACCACCGCCGCCGCCTGGAGAATCCCTAGCTGCGGCAGAAAAAGAAGGACAATGTCATCCGGCGGCGGCGGCGGCTGTGGGGGTCGGCGGAAAACTCGTCGTAGGACGCGACGCGCGTGCGCGCATCCGTTTCCGACCAATCGGAACCGCCGGGCGTATCGCTGTCGGATGGCGTTCACCACCCCCCGAGCGCGCAACCGGGACGCCAGTTAAATTTAATTATCGGATCATTATATAGTCGTACGGGCCCGCGAGTTCGTGCGATACCRCGTACGCAGACCACCGCCGCCAGTGTGGGTGTTCGTATTACAGTGACCGCGCGCGCTTAATACGTCGTCGTCGTACACGGCACGCGACAGATTTTATAGGTATATTATGTATATACCTACATAACCGCGGTAATATATTTTATTGTAYGTTTTAGTATTATATGGGCGATTKTCGTCCRCTAGTGTGACTGTTACTACTTATAGGGTACCGCAGCGATATCCGCGCGGTTCATCACGAGATACACCTGCGACGAGTTCGCCGTATAATCCGCGGTCGTTATTATTGTGTCAATAAATACAGCTACGCTACGATAGTATTCGTTTATACGATCGACGCTCGATATCTGACTGTTGCAGCGCTGCAGCTAACGAGTGCTTTTGCGGTTTCGACGAGACGGGAACTGCCGGAAAATAGACTTCCGAACGGCGTGTCCGGTGCGAAAAACGATGGTCCGGTGGCCATCATCGTAACAACAACAATAACTTTATTATACAGTATCGTGTCATCTATACGCATACAATATATAAAATTATTGTTGTCGTTATCACGTGTAACCAACCGCGATCGTTTAAACCGATTCCCTTGGATCGCGTACGACAGTCTACCGTGGTCGTTAACGATACTTTCGGCGATTATGTCGAATTTGCGATTTTTTGCTCGTGTCGTTTTTATATCCATTTACTGACGGTCGCGCTCAGATTGCATGACGATTACTGACCTTTGAACGGAAAATCACAGTTTCTCGGACGATTTTTCACAGGTAAACAACTCTAATATTRTACCTATAATACGATCATGAAATGTATTTTAGTATGATATTATTATTATATTACGTCTACAACTTTTCTGTAGTCATATAGGTTATAGATTTATAGTTTAAAAAAAAAATGTATTGCAGGTTAACTATTTTATAAACACCTATTTATATAGTATTTATTAAGTATAAATAAAAGAGTGTGAATTGACGATGTAAATCGAATAATATATTTTTACTAATAGTTATACCTGTAGGTAACACCTCCTATGTATCGTGCATGGTAGTTACCTATATGCCATATTTTATTTTACTTAAACAGGGACAAACAATTTTCGTTAAATTTTTATGGGGAAAATCGTATCACTCCTTCACGATCTGCAACTACCAGTTTTAGACCTTTGACATACAATTTTGTTCGTAACTAGAATACCACTC